TTTTCCTATAAACGTGATCGTAATCTTCGTTCTTTTTTTGGTCAAGGGAATTCTTCCCTCTAACAAAGAACTTGGTACTTTTCGCTGTTCTCGTAAACGCTGTTATACTTGTCCTCACATAGCCTCTCACACTTCTGTTGTCGGTCCTAAATCCACTGTTAAAATCACTGASCATTTTGTTTGTACCACTTCTAATGTTGTATATTGTATYAAATGTACCCGCTGTAATCTTTTGTATGTGGGCGAGACTGGCCGCCGTCTTGGTGATCGCATTTACAATCATCTTTATGATATTCGCAATAACGATTCCACCAAACCAGTTTCCCGCCATTAATCTAGCTAGCCATTCTCTTTCTGACTTCATTGTTTTCGGTCTTTCTTTGATTAACGGCAACAATGATTGTTGCAAGACCAAAGAAATGCGGCTTATTCACCTATTGGACACCCTTAGTCCCAACGGGATTAATGAACGCTTTACTTTCAACTAACCTTTTCTTTTGATTGTTTGCTTTGTTTCCTTGCCTACCTTGTTCTCATTGGTTTCTTTTGTCTTATTCTATCATATAAACACTCCTTTCTACCACCTCTTTCTCTTTTATTCCGACGAAGGACTAGCGTCCGAAACGTCAGTAGGCTTTTTCGTCTTTTCACGGTGTATAATTTACCTTTTCATCATTACTGTAAGAAAAAATTGGTAACCCCTGGAGTTGATTCATGGCTTGATTATGTTACTTCCGTCCGTATATTTGGAACCTTAAACGAAATTTAAAGCTAGGATACTTTGAATTAGCATCCCTGGATTAGCCTCGTATGCAGACGTTCTTAGTGTTCGCACGCAACGTTTCCTTCCCCATGAACGACCTTTCCAAAAATTGACCAATCAGCATGAACCTTTTAATATCGACAAGGTTCGTGTGGATTGATTAATAATCGAGATTATATATTCCAAATGTTTATGGTAAATTATTAATTTATCTAGCCCTACCACTATGTATCGATGTTTTGTTGTTGTTGTTGTTTT